AAACAAATTTTATAACCAATTGTGGAAAAAATTATCACTTTAATGGACAATTTCCATATAAAACAAAGTCAAACGGACATAAAATTTTAAAATTTTTCGGGTGGAAAATTATACAAATCAAACACACTAAATTAACAATTCCCTATAAAACAATTTCTAGACAATTACTTTCCCTAAAATTCATTTTCTTTCCATCTATTTTCCACCCTTACAATCAAATGGACACTTAGTGTTTAACATTAATCTATACATTAGATTTGGATCAAATAATACCATGTAGCCTAGTTCCCAATTTCATAAATAAAATAATCTAAGAAATTTGAAATGTAGATCAAGTATAAAGGGTGTTTTAACTTTTCATATACAGGAAGGAATAATATTATCTATCAAGGATATGTTTTGCATAACTTTTACTTTTTGTAGAAGGCTTTCTTGAGAAAGCTACCTTGAGTTAGCTTCCTTTAAAAGTTATTTGTCGTCAAAATGTCAAACAAAACACTTCAATAAAAAATTATTTAAACATATTCTAATTCCAAAAACAAATTTTAACTTTTCAAAATCCATGCCAAATGGCTCCAAAGGGCCTACAATAAGTTGAGGAGACTTGTGATCATTGCGCACAACAGAGGCCTTAGGTTAGGGTCTCTTTCTGCAAAAATTCCACCACCAAGTCTTAATTCTCAGTGCCTAGAACTTATTCTCAATAGGTGTTGGCTGTAAGAGAAGAAATTTATATTATTCCTCACTAACAAGTCTTGATGAAAGAAGAATGTTTGGAATTGAAATATTCTTGAGTCATAGTATCCAGTTGTCAAAACTTTTGGACCCAATTTAGAGCAATTTGTGAAAGTTTTCCTATAAATTCTTACTAAGAAGAATCTTGACTACCCGATTTGGGTTAAACTGAAACAAAAATGTTGATGAAAAGTGTCGTGTAATAACCAATTGATAAAATTCTTTACCTTTTTTTTCACCGAAGAACATTACCCTAGAACACTAGAAGTTAACTCGGCGACAAATTATTATTATATATATAAATCTTTTAAATATTTACTTCAACACAATTATATACTAAATATATATTCCACAGGAAACCAAATTAACCATTTCAATTGCTATCATAAATGACATTCAAGTTGAAATTAGCATACAACAAAACCCTTTGTTTATTACTTAGACTTCCAGTTTCAAGCTTGTAATGGAGATAAGCCTAAGGGTTTGTCCTCCATTTGCACAAACTTCTCTTCTATTTCCACTGCTTCCCTTTTGTAAATATACATCTTTGATGCTCCAAAAAAGGCCAACAAATTCAGGACAGATAATATCAGAAGGAATCCATAGTAATAATCCAAATGAGAATCATTCACATTTTTCCCAATCCAACTTTTCCCTCCGTTCCTCCCTGTAGTTTTATCCACCATAGTCACCAGGAAGCTATTCAAGAAGTTCCCCACACCAATCCCACTTGTAAAAAACGTCGTCCCGAGACTTTGCATGTCTTCTGGAGACTGATCATAGAAGAATTCCAGCATTCCAATAGCATTAAACACATCAGCAATCCCTAACAAAACATACTGAGGAAGTAAATAGAATATGCTCATGGGAACTATTTGCTCAGGCCGTTGGATTTGGTGCACTTTAATAACATGTATGCGCTTCACTTCAACGCCGTACGAAATTGCAATGGCAAGAATTTGAATCACAAACCCGATCCCAAGTCGTTGCAAAAGCGTGATTCCTCGAGGGTTTCCAGTCTTCTTTCGCATTAAAGGCACGAAATAACGATCATATATGGGAACAGACACGAGCATTGAGAGCGTGACGAAACTCCCAAGTGATGCTGCTGGTATTTGGAAGTTTGGACCAAAATGCCTGTTCAAAGTGATGCCTTGTTTAACAAAGAGAGTGTAGATTTGTGCCCAAATGGTGCTAGGGATTAGGGTTACAAGCCATATCGCTGTCATTCCTAGAATCAGCTTGGCTTCTTCAACTTGAGTCACAGTGCACAGTGCCCTTAGCTCACTATCTTTTCCCTCTTGCTTAATTGCAGCCTTGTCCAAGAACCTGAGAACAGAATACTAACTTTAAAAAATTGAAACATTCAGTTTAGGGCACCTTCGTGTTCGACACATTTCAAGAATAGACACGTATAACGAAAATTAATAATTATCTTGAGTCGAGATAAATTTTTTGACATATTTATTGCTCGAATTAAAAGCTTAGCTGATCTCCAAAATTTGGGGCAAATTGAAAATAGAAATTCTAGTGCAACTTGTTTTATCTCTACAACTAACTTTTAGTAAATTTGAACAAGTCAAATCATGCTATAAGGAACGGTCAAGTCTTGCCAAAAGTTCTTAAAGGTTCTCAAATTTTTCACACGTCATCCAAAAATTGTTTGCTTATGTGAGTCAGACTCCATGTAGTGCCCATTCTTTGCAGGTCACGTATGGTCCCATTTCTAATTATTTATACGGACCATTTCAACTTGTAAGAGAAAAATCTCCGCTTTAAGTTTGTGGCAACCAACTCTAACTATTGGATTTACTATAGAATCAATGTGCTAGCAAGTTGCACAAAAACGAAGATCTTTTGAAGAAGGAATCGACAAATGAATTTTTGGGACCTCCATAACAAAAATACTATCTTGTTCTGAATATTATGACCACAAAATAGCAATAAAAGTACAATTTTCCAAGAAAATGAAAATTTAGATAAACAAAAGTATGACGTGAGAATATTAAGAAAGATAAGAAAAAGTAAAATTCTGTTTACATGTTAGTCAATCTTATTCAATATTGTGTATCGAACATGTACTACAAGTCTATAAACTGAACTCACTATTTTCGACCAAAATGTCAAAAAGAGAATGGGGGTTGCTGAGAGTTGTTTTGCTAATTTTGAATTAGACGCACTTATCATATGTATGGCTATGTTTGTCATGTGCAGTGTGTAGAAATATAACAACATAAATGAATTGATGACATCCCACGAAAAATCCCTATGAGTAGTTGGAAGACGCTGACAGTTCACGGATATCCTAGAAAGAACTGTTCAAAGGGTGCACATGGCAAATATTTATTGAATGATTTCTTTGGAAAAGAGTAAAGGAGGGCACCATTGTTGTCCCGCTCACAACTTGAGAGCCCCCCAACCTGGGGGTGGGGTGCAGTGGTCCTCTACTAGCCTTATATTTCATTTTTCAATTTTTAAGGACATGGAATCTTTATTAAGGAATCTTCCAAGATTTCGGTATTCCTTGTCCAATCTTTCATTCATTTACTCAAACTATGTAAGTTTATTCCTTGTTAAAATGATGCTTCCAAGGACTTGGAATAAATCTTGTATTTCACAGAGCACATAATGTTTGAGTTCAAGTCTCATCATCATCAATTTATAAAAATTATGCAGACGTGCCCGAGAAACTTTTGTTGCGGTGGTTTAATAGTATCGTTAATATTTAACCAAGTATGGTAAACACTAGCTCACCTGAATACTGTAGTGTGGTAGATTCGTCGTTTTCCAGTAGAGATGTAATACTGTTGATCAAACTCATGAAGCTCTGATGAATGGCTAGGGAGAACAAGCTTCCTATTAGCATATGCATCGACAATAACCCGATATAGGTCACTGGCGGGGTGTCCTGTCCTCCTTGCTTTGTGCCTATACATTGGAGCGCCAATGTAGAAAATGACAAGAGATACAATAAGTCCCACTGTTGGGATTCCATATCCCAATCCCCAGCCTAAGTTTTCTTGAATATAAACAAGGCCAAGTGTAGCAAATAATGCACCCGTGAAGGAACTGAACATCCACCAATTGAAGAAAGAGACTTTGAGTTTTTTCTCATCTGGATTGAAATCGTCGAATTGGTCTGCACCAAAGGTGGATATATTCGGCTTTGTTCCGCCCGCGCCTACTGCTATTATGTAGAGCGATGTGTAGAAAAACGCGATTTGAGAACGTGTTGCCTTATTGCACGCTCCATTTGCACATGTTGGCTTCAAGAATTTAACCGAAACTGCCATCGTCAAAAGCACCATGCCCTGTTGACACGAAATAGTCTTAATAAAACTTATTGTTGGCATAACAAATTACTCTACAATCTGATTTAGTGCAAAAATATAATGTCACTTTCAATCAATCACTCAAATTAAGAATCAATATCAGTATACAAATTTTGTATTTATTTGAAGTAGATGGCCTCTTCATATGGAAAACCTAATTACAAGTCACTTTTAGGCCAAAAAGCATAGGCCATGAACATGTCCCACAACCAATAATCCAGCAATCTATTGGCCATTAGGATTAGGTAAGCTCCATTATACACCAAACAACTGGCATAGTATCATTCATAATGCAATTTGAAAGAGTTTTAATTATCACCTCACTTATTTCTTCAATGGAAAATGGAAATAAATAAATGAATAAATGCATATGTACACATATATCACTTACAATGACATAGACTAAAGATGAAACTGTAAATGTCCAGAACCGGCCTAAATACGAATCCGCAACGTAAGCACCGATTATCGGAGTAATCCAGACTGATCCTGACCAGTTATTAACATTTGTAACTGATAAAACCGTGTCTTCATGAAGTTGGGTTGTCAAGTAAACCACTAAATTTGATGCTATTCCATAGAAGGCCATTCTTTCAAATGCTTCATACCCTGCATCAATAACCAAGAAAAACAGAATCGGTGATAATATATTTTTTTTCCTGGGAAATTCAATATTATGCAAGTGATGGGATAAGAAGTGCATACCAACAAGGAAAGCACAAGCCTTCCATTTGCCGGTTTTAGCGGTGAGGACAGGCTGCCCTCGGAGATCGACGGTGCCATCCTGTGTGTAATCTCTAGATTCCATTGATATAAATCTATTGAATGAATGATTAGGGAGAAACAATTTGTACAAAGGACATGAAGAAATCTTGTTTAGGACAGAGAAGTTGTTTTGAGGTGGGAGGTTGAGCGGCTGCAAACTTATCTATAAGTAGGCAAGGCTGCTACTGGTTTACCCGTACGGCCGGTCATCAGTGTGTCAGACATTGCTTTTTTTTTTAATCCTCTTATTTTTTGTTTAGGAAATATATATATATATTTTTAATTTAAAGTAAAAGTTAGTGCAAGCAAATTATATTTAGAGTTGACGTCAAAGTCAAAATTCTATAATCTTGAAGTCAGTGCTTGGCAAATATATTTTAAAAATTCCTTGTAACGGTGGGTGTGTGTGTATATATATATATATATAGGTAAAGGCAAGACGCAAGATGTAATTTTTATTTTACAATAATGTAATACTCATCTAATAAATCACGAGTTCAACAGTATAATTAAATAGCTAGTGAGCTAATATCATTTTTTTTTTTTGTAGTATTTCTTAAAATTAACTAAACGACAAAAGAATTGTCGGACCAGGAGGGAGCCCACCTCTCCCAGAGTGGGTAGCGCCACATCAAAAATTGTTGAGTCATGTCAAAGTCTGTCAAAATCTGGGTGTGATCCTTAGATTAAGATGAAGGAAAATTGCAAAAGGAATCTTTAGTTTCCAAATTATCAACTTAGCATTGATGTAATAACAAAAATAGATATATTTTTTTGTTGTTATTATCTTACGAATTACTCAGGGTTGACGACCTTCGAGAGCTTTGCTCTTGGATAAGACAATTAACATAGTATTAGGATTATTCGAAATATGTTGTCACGATCTTTTTATAAATATAATGCACTTATATAATTTCTGATAAAACGAATTAAAATAATTTCGGACGCATTAACACAAAATGAAACAAAAACATAATTTTGATTTTAGTAATGTCCTTTGAAATAAAATGTCGTTTTCTTAGGTTCAAAAAGTCTAAATTTTTGTATTTATTTGAACTGAAGTCGCTAAAAACCCTCAATTTCAGCTAACCAATTAAAATTAGCATTTTTTTTTTTAACTTATTCTACTACTCACGCGGGCCATTATGAAGCATCCAAGAAACTTCTACAAGTTAACAATAAAAGTTTTTCCAACAAAAATCTCAAATTTTACTGGCTATTTGATGCAGGAGGATCCGTGTCAGCCGAGGTCGAGCTGTTTGATAGTACGTTAATGGGGTTGAGATACCATGAGTTGGCGGATCAGTGCAAAATTTGCAAATAATCATCGACCTTTCCTAATTGGGGCATTTTTGGACATGTTTCGATATTTTAGCCATAACTTTGGCTACGGTTGTCAGAATCACGCCTATGACCCCAATTCGCAAAGCTCTTTTTTGCGCGCACGTCGTGATCACCTAGCTATGCTCTGTGTGCATCGATTTCGAGGTCAAATTCAGCTGTTTTCCCTTCCGAATCATCAATTTAAATTATTTTTTGCTATTTTTAGTAATATTTCAATTGCACGTTGGGAGATGATTTTTAACCCGATTTGGGCTAGATTTTTTGTAGAATAGTTATTTTATTCCATATTTTCGTTTGGCGTGATTTTTTTGGAATTTTGCCATTTTTGGTAAAATTCGGNTAGGATTTTGCTATTTTTGGTAAAATTCCGAAAATTATTATTTCCTAACTATTTAATCCGATTTGTGGGTTATTTTCGTTCAGTTATTAAATAATAAAAATTTTCTCGTTTTTCTTAGTGTTATTCTCTTGCGTCATTCTCTATTATTGTCTATTAATTCCAACCTGCAAAATAATCATTGTTCAGCCCTCACTATTGAGCAACTTATCCACTCCAAGGTGCACTGCCTTCTGTTTTTAATACCAAAGTCAATTTCATCATTACATTTTTGTCAATATTTATCCTCAACTAGGTATGCTTGCCATCCCAAAATCATTCGAATCTAGTCAACTATTCGAGAAATGGATTTTTGTCTGAAACTTTATTAGAATTGTTTATATCAAGAAAGTTATTTTGTCTCTTTGTGTCAACTGTTCACTTTCGTCTCATCGAATTGAGAAATAAAATTGGTATTATCCTTTTTTGTTTCAAATTGGAACCAATGAAGTCAATCAAGGTCATCGTTCAACGAAAAATGAGAGAAGTTTCTCAGTTCGTGTAAAGATTATGTATGTATTATCCACACATTTCGCCGAATTCATTATTGTTCTTCTTAAAAAGTTATTAATAATTTTAGATGAACAGAGGCATTTTCATACATATTGGATCATTAGTAAAATATTTTATTTTCGAAGGTTGTAACATAACATATTTTGATGAAGTAATAGTATCCTCATTCTAGCGTCTTTTGTTATTGCTTGCTTCTTGTTCACAATACCGTTGATTGTACTCCATTTTTCATTGCGCAATTCGTCCACAGTGATATTTGAGTAATATGAACACAATATGATTTTTTTCAAAACCAAAATTTGTTCAATTAATTATTTAGCCCTTTTTGGGCTCCATGAAAATAAGATTTTAGGGGAAAATATATTTTGAAATGTTATTTTTTTGGAGAATGTGTGGTTAAAAAAATATATGCTAGCACACGGACGTAAAAGATAAATTATTTTTTTTAAAGAAATTTATCCTAATATTAGCTCGCACCCACCCCCCCACCCCCCGCGGTCCCAACTAAAGTGAAACGACCTCCGACTCCACTCGAGGGTATCTAAACGAGTAACGTAGTCTAGATTTGGGATGGCCTAATCATGCTATTAGTCGGTCTGTCCTTACTCTCGAGCCACGTCGAGTGCGGTATATTTTCCAAAAAAAAAAAAACTTTTGAACAAGTCTTTTTGCATCGAAAAAATAACCAAATGATTTAAAAGCTATATAAAAACAACCCTTAAAACATTTGCGCAGGTCAGGTTACTTCACCGTCAAGCTACCTCAAAATTAGGCAATGCACATCTCAGTTGACACCTCAAGCTCCACTAGTGCCACCAATCTTCCCAAAATTAATTTCAGTTTAGTTTACTTTCTTACTGCCAAGATTCTTGTATTGTCCATGTGGAAAGCCAAAGACTATTCCAAAGTTGGTGGATATAGGAGGGAGATGATTGAACAAGACTAAACATGTTAGTCCATACAAGTTGATGCTAAAACTGTTGCATGACACTAAGGGCATTGGCATCAGTAAAAATAATTAAAAATCATAGAATAGGGGGTCCAAAACCTAGGTTTTGTTTAGTAGCCTTTCACCATACCTATGAAAGGAATGTGTGAAAGCCTCTTATTTATGTTTCCATTTGAATGAGAAAAGAAATTCCCTTTCACAGTAAACACCTACACCAATATGAACGCTACGGCTCTCTCTGTCTTTCCCCATCAAAAGTGATTTTCTTGCCTATCCTTTTTGCTGATTTGTGAAAACATATAGCGCGCACAATAACTTTGGCCCCAATTAGAGTTTGTCGCTCTTTATTGCTTGGTTCCTCTTATTCTCTCTCCTCATTGGATTGTCTGTAAGAAGACGTAAGTTAGTTGTCATTTTGACTTGACAAACAAATCTAGTATATGAAGAGACATTATGGAATTTATATCTTCAGCTTCAATAATGTATGGTAATGTCGGAAACTTGATGATGGGTCCAAGTTAGGCATCAAGCGGGACCGAAGTGGCATGCTCACTGCTTAGTGTTCGATAATACTTCTTATTTATCCCACTAGATTGTCTGCAAGAACACATCAGTTAGTTGCCGAATTGATTTCGACAATCAAGTCTAGTAAAGAGACGTTACAAGAGTTTACTTCTTCAACTTCAACAATTTACGACAATGTCTGAAAGTTGTTATCTGTCCAAGGTGATATCAGAAGAGAGATGCTCAGTTGTTAGATTATTCTTCTTTCTCAAAAGTGGATTGTCTGCAAGAACACATTAGTTAGTTTTCAATTTTACTTTGACAATCAAGTTTGGTAGCTAATGGACATTAATGGAATTGAGGTCTACAGCTTGAATAATTTACGTTAATTGTTAATAGGTCTAATTTACCCCGTTTGATAGTCAATATTTTGAAAAAAAAAAAAATATTTTGAATAGTAATTTTTTGGAGGATGTGTGATCAAAAGTAGGAAAAAATTTTGAATTTACGTACAAACTATTTTATTGTGTAAATGTGTGATTGAAAATGACGCTAAACAGCATTGGCATTAGTTAGTTGAAGATTGGTTTTTCTCCTCGTCAGATTCTTACATCATCACTTAGCCATGTTTGGTGAACTTTAATTTATTTCTCATACTTATTTTCAATCATACATTAACACAATAAAACATTTTATACGTAAATCTAAAACTTTTTCTAATTTTTAACTACACATTTTACAAAAAAAATACAATTCAAAACATAGTTTAAGTTTAAAGGCCACCAAACAAGGGCTTAATAATCGATTTGACTCTAAAAATAAGTTCGATACTTTCGATTAATTTGAAAAAGAAATAAGAAAGAGTGAAGGGTCATTTATTTATGGGCAGAAAGAAGTGAAAGTGTTGAAGATCTCCACATAATCAATTGCTTATAACTTAATGATGGCGGCTCGGAATGACGAGTTTTTCCGGTTATTGATTGATTGAATACGTCGTGACAATGTGTTAGAGATTTTAAACACGAAACAATCAATGCACGTTGAAGATGAATCTAGACAATTTGGGACACTATCACAATATGGTAAGACCTCACGTCACCACTCTTCTCAACTTCGTCTTCAACCACCAATCAGGGACGAGAAATTCTTGAAAGAGAAGGATCAATGAAGTGCCTGCTTGACGTGATTCTTAGATTCCCTGGAGCATACTGCATGGTGCACATGTGGACAAAGTTCCAAAGACTTGTATCTAGAGAGAGAAACCATAACGTGAAAGCTATTGACACGACAGGAATCTAAACAAACTCAATAGGGTTACCAGGACACAAGGTCAAGTGCCACAGCTTCATCATATTAAAAGACCAGCAATGGTTTCAAAATGATTCAATGAAATTTGCTATAATGCGCGCACAGTAAATAGAAGTAATACATGTCTTGTGATTTTTTCACCATCTTCCATCAACAAAAAATGCTACAGTTAAAAGTAATGCTAAAAAAGAACTAAGGAGACAGAACAATTCTCTGGGTCCTCGAGTTTCCTAGTACTAACAAATTCTAATTCAAATACCAGCTCAAGTTCTAAAATTTCAGATCTTCCTTCCCCCTTAGGTGTAATTTTAAAGCAGGGTCGAAATGAAATCTACTGACTATCTAGACAGTGTTCTTATCAAAGCCTAAAGAACCCAATCCATTTTTAATTTCATGTTATGAACTTCCTAATATTTTGTAGCACAAATTTCATATTCCTAATTCAAAAGCACAATGATAAGTATTCCCTTGCTCCATGACTTACCTGTAGCAGCATCACTACCGCCATCTCTATGTCAATACATAAGCCACAATTAACAAGAAAGAATCTCATTCTCTTATAAATTCAACACCTCACAAGTTTCAATAACTAAGAAAAGGTAAGCTACTGGTACACAACAAACAACCAAGGGGGTTGGACACATTTTCCGTCCACTAATTAATTCTCACCTAGAAATGTTAGAATCAACCATAATGTCTCAATAAAAGTCCTAAAACAAGATCATGTGATAATATTATTCAACAATTCAATCATGTCAACTAAAACTCATGTTCACAGATTCGTAGACCACTAAATTTAAATTTCATTATATACATGCCTAAACATTACGACAATACAGAATTGCAAACAATGCCAGTTCATGCTACTGCAAGAACTCATTATTTACAATACCAATTTCAGCAGCAATAGGCAACTGAAAGTGAGATTAGTAGATAGAATGAGGAAATGCACTCCCACAGAGTACGCAAAATAATTTAAATGCTCATCAAGAACAAGAAGTCGACGTCATGTTGCACCATATAGAACTTGGTGACCACAACCGTGCTACAGTTATATATAATACAAACTTATGAAGGAAAAATGGATAGATAGGCAGGTTATACTTATGTTCAGTGGCTACTACAAATTCATTTAAAGTATGGAATAACACAGTTCAACGGTAAAGGCGGAAGTACAGTACACTCCCCAGGAAAGCTAAGCCATATCTACACATATCAGCAGCATTAGAATCACTTGTTAATATAAACTAATCTAAAAATTGGCAAGAAAAACATCACCCCAATCACACTGGGACTATACAAGGACCTATATGTTAGAAACACCTACTTTGCAAAGCTAATTAAGCTCTCTCTCACTGTAACTCATCCTGTTATACTTCCTCAACTGGCAATTCAAACTTGTCAATTTCTTCAAAATATGCTCTCTGCTGTTCAATAAAATCTTTTGGCAAGCTATAGTCATTAGCATCTTTCCGCTGCATGCAACTCTTCTGCAAAACCACATTATCCTTGAAACATCAATACTGGAAATTTTGACATAAATAAATAAGTCTTCTTGATCAAGTACTCTATAAAAAGTCCTTTTGGCTCAGGATAGTCTTGAATAAAGCGCTCATCATTGATTTCATGTATTATTAGAATTGGTTACACTCCATATCCTATATTTTCCTGAACTTAGTTTGAGCCATCAGAATGTGATGTGTGAATGCTTTAACTAAATACAATGATTTTTGCCAAAGTTGAGGATATTCTTAGCCAACACCAAGAGCAGTCAAAGGACATTACAATGGGATGTTAGGACAGTCATCTGTAAACTTTAACCATCAAAGTTCAATACAACTGGGAATTCCAATTATAGCAGAGCGATAAGAGATAGCAATGATGCTGTTACAAGAAATTGAACATAACATCTGATTATCTATCAGACACCCCAATTCATGGGGGCTTTCATGCTTGGACTACTCCAAAATTCCCAATAGCAGAGCCACCATTATGGTATTATCTACAAAGTGATTTTAGTGTAAATGTTCTTTATATTATAGCATCTACGAATATATAGTCAACCAGCCAAAAGACCTGTCACCAATATAATAGTTGTTTATTAGAGAACAATTTCATTTCCATATGGTTCAGCTCCATATTTTATTGTAGCCAAAAAGAACGGCCTGATATTTTATTATCAAATGGAAAATAGAACATAATTAAATAAATGACAACCTAGTCTGCTTCGAATACAATTTTATGATGCTCTATTTCAGTTGAATTTCCTCAGGAAGCCAAAAACCATATAAAACAAATATCTCGTGTTTTGAAAGTACCCGAGGCTTAAGCCTTGAGAGCGGCCTAGCACAAGCCTTTTATTAGGAGACTAAAGGTGTACACTTTAGCCATGGGGCTGCAAAATTTTGTAAGTTGAAATAGGCCACATGAGTAAGGTCTTCCTTACTTATCGTGGGACCTACTCCCCATACATTTTTAACCACACATTTCCATTGCTTATAAGTCATGGGCTATTGTCAAACATGCAAGTGTCCTCATACCTCAAGGCATAAGCCCGCTGGTGTGCAATCTGAGATTTTAAGTCTCAGATTTTTGGATTGATATTTCATAGCCCAGCATGTTTCAAGGGTGGTTTTTTGGCTGTTTTAGACAAACCCAAAACTAAAAATTAAAAAGGAAAAAAAAATGGAGATTAAAGAAAAGAGATGAAGAGCCCATGCATGCACTAGCCCTCTTCTCTAACATTTAATGTGTGATGCCCATATATTTTGTTTTCTTTGCTTTGGATGTTATTTTCTTTTGAAGTCCAAATAAATAAAATTCTTAAGTAGTTAATTAGCTGTTCCATTGGTTTTAGACTTTCATTGATCGGTGTATATTAGTAGTTGTTATGTGATTACGATTTTTATACTCTGCTCAATCCATTTTATGCTTGTAGTTGCAAATTAGACTTTTCATTTAGTTGAAGTGATTTATCATGGATTTTTCAGATGGTTCGAGGTTTATTTTGAGTGTAATTTTTTTTTTTCCCCTATGTTTTCAGTTATTATATTAGTTTATATTGAATCTTATGCCTCGCCTCACGGAAAGCCTCAATAACCAAATTGATATTTTTTAAACATTGCAGTTATCTAAATGTCCATAAATAATTTCATTCAAATAGAAAATAAAAGAATATACCATATCCACAGAAACAACTTAACGTGGAATTCAAAATTGGATTTAGGTCCAAACAAAGAAATAGAAGTGGAATAAATAGAAACCTTAGTTGCACAAGAAAAGGCATACAGAATAATACTGATAACAATCAAATGCAATAACCAAGAATATTGCAGTCTTGATTTCCTTTTGTGTGTCAAGAAATGAGAAATCTGTACAAACCTTTTTACGTTTAGGCTGAGGATCAGTCCATGACTTTGATGATTTAACATCTCCAGATTCATTAAAACCATTCCTATTAGCAGAATCAAAAGGAGATCAGCACAAGCGATAGCTAAAGGTAGAGAATAAGACGGAAATATAGCAGTCATTGGTTTGCTTCGAAATAACATTTCATTCCAGACTATGAGCACGATCCAAAATCTGAACATACTTGATGTAACATAAAAATAAGCTGAGGCAAACAGAAATGAATGCTATGGAATTGTATCACAGGATCCATAAAAGCCACACCTGAAAAATTAAATTTTAGAAAAATATCCTTCTTACAAAGCTTCATGCTGAAAAATATTATCTATTGCATCCATGATCCAACTTCTCCACTCCATGGTAAAATGCCCAAAATATAAACAAAAAGACGTAATATCAAAAAAGGCAGTAAGTGAAACAGCTTGAAGTCAAAATAGTCTACCTGTATAAATTATACAGAAATGAATAATGCTAAGTGTACACAACTTTTACACCTCTCTCACATGGAAGGGGGCCCACACATAATAAAATAATCGTGGACCCCCCTTCATGTGAGAGAGGTGTAAAAGATTGTGTAAAAGTGTGTGTGTACATGTAGCATTACCCTACAGAAATATAACAGAAGAAAACAACTGTACAGAAAGGCTCAATGTCTTACAGTAAAATGAAGAGAGAGCAACAGAAAATAAATAAATTACCGTCATGGGAAGTTAAATAAAACCCACTCTTACAAGAAATCAACTATGCAATATAACTTATGACATTACATTTGTCTATAATAAGAAACCAGTGGTTCCAATGCATCTGAAATTTTAAAATAAGCATATTACGCACATAGTACATGCGCTCAAAGAGTAATGACAGTCCGCAAAGTATGACAAATAGGTTATGAAAAGTTCACAAAGTCAATTTTGGCAAAAACAGAAAGTATCGCTTATGTGTGCACTTGCATCTGTGTCCACAGGTGTTCGTGTTTGTGTAAGCATGAGTAGAGTGAAAGCGGGAGTGGGAGGGAGAGAGTATGCTACTTTACTTGGCATTCAGCAAAGGAGGGCAACTAGAAGCCCCAATATCTATCGTCCTCTTTCCACTTTTTCTTCTCCGAGAAGTGTAATTAACCGACACAGTAGCAGATGCCCCTTTATCTTTTATTTTTTCAACTGAGCTAGGAACGAGAATCACTTCCCCCCTCTTCTTTGCTGTCTGAAGCGAGGAGCTAAAAGGATTGAGAATGGACTTCCCTTTCTCCTCTTTCTCAGTTGAGCAGCCAAAAGGATTGAGAACAGTCTTCCCTTTATCGTTTGTTTTTTCAACTGATGTGCTAGAAGGATTGAGGATGGTATTCCCTATCTCTTTTGTTTTCTCGAGTGAGGAGCTAGACAGACTCCGAATCACAACCCCTCTTTCCTTTCTTTTCTCATAGGAGCTGCTAAAAGGATTAAGGATCAGGCCTTTTGTTTTCTCAATTGAGCTGCCAGAAGCATTGAGAACAGCCTTCCCTTTATCCTTTGTTTTCTCAACTGACAAGCTAGAAGGATTGAGAATTGTATTCCCTATCTCTTTCGTTTTCTCGATTGAGGAGTTAGAAGGACTACAAATTACAACCCCTCTTTCCTTTCTTATCTCATATGAGCAGCTAGAAGGATTAAGGATCAGCTCTTTTGTTTTCCCAATTGAGCAGCCAGAAGAATTGACAACAGCCTTCCCTTTATCCTTTGTTTTCTCAAACGACAAGCTATAATGATTGGGGATTGTCTTCCCTATGTCTTTTGATTTCTCAGGTGAGGAGCTAGAAAGACTACAAATCACAACCCCTCTCTCCTCTCTTTTCTCATATGAGAAGTTAGAAGGATTAAGGATTCCCTTCCTTAGCTCTTTTGTTTTCTCAGTTGAGCAGCCAGAAGCATTGAGAATTGTCTTCCCTTTCTCTCCCTTTTCAAATAAGCAGCTAGAAGGATTGAGAATTTCCTTTCCAACTTCCATGTTTTTAACATATTCACTAAAAGGACTGGCACTTCCTTTCTCCTTTTCCATTGAGTTCTCCAGAAAACTACGAGAACTGTGAATTGGGTTCCCATAGTCCTCTGCTTTCCCAGGAGGTGGGCAATAGGATGGTACAGTAATAGCCTTCCCTTTACACTTCATCTTCAAAAGAGAAGTGGAGCTACGGGTTGCAGCAACAGCATCACTCTCTTTCTGAGGTCCATATGTGGTCCGTCTTCGCCTGGATGCTCCATTCTTAGTTTCCCCATCACCTTCAGTAAGCAGTAAGGTGCAGATTAGCTCTCTATTATGCGTAGATTGAAATCTACTCAAGAACGTGAACTAAATAAATGCATAAAAAATAGCCAATCTATGCTAAGCATCTCGATCCTTCTGTAATGGCTCAAAACAACATTCGCAAATAATACCCAGATCAAAACAGTAGAGAAACTAATAACCCAAGTCTGATGTCCATATAAATCATTTCTACTCTCTTAACAGATCATCTAAGCAAACCCAAAACTCTTCAGTCTAAACTTCAAAAATTAATGACACCCGAAAGACCTTAAAGTCAAAACAAAACAATGGTAAGATAAAAAAAAATCCCAAAGAAAAATAAAATACTAGTAACAAAGACTAAAAACAAAATTAACTATTTCATTGAAAAAGCAGTACACGATTCCGAATCTAACTTATAATTCAGCTAGTAAAACTTCCCATATAAGCAACAAATTTGAAAATCAGCCCCTCCCTGATCATCAACAGGAAAATCCACTCACATACACACTGTACACACACACAAGGACAAACTATGCTTGCAGCGAATTTGGGCATGCCAAAACCCTAGATTTCTAAATCCCAATATCAATAAAAACACAAGCACAAAGGCACGCTAATTCATACAAAAAAATGTACATATAAGTACTAAACAAAATTACCAGGTGAAGCAATTGACAATAGTGGACGACAAGGGTCGTTCGAAAATTGAACGATATGCGAATTCCGTGCGGCGCTAACATTGGATGACCCGATACTAGTACCAGAATTGGTTTCGGAATCGGAATATATTGGATTTGATTTTAGAATTGAATTCGGGGGTTTTGAGGCTACAAGCTTACGGAGAGTGGATGTGGGGATTAAATTGAAGGTATTTGTCAGGTCTGATAAGGGTTTTCTCTTCCGGGTCTCCATTCCTTTTCACATATCAGTGCGTCTTTGTATGCCACTTGATTTATGAACTTATGTTTGTGTGTTTATATATATTATGGTGTCGTTAGAGAGAGGATTGCAGAGGAAGATATTGTTAGCAATGGCGGGAAAAAAGGTGGATTTGAAAGGGGAAAGATCACACTAGAAATGACTGGACAAATCGTTGTGGTTACTCGAGTTTACTACAAACTTTGATAAATTGGAGAGAAGGACACAGGACGATAGAAGGATTTCCAATGGAGTTTGGACATTGTAGAGTTGGACTCTAAATTTTGGGCTTACTTTTGCCAGGGCCCATGTGGCCTTGGTAGTGTAACAAGGTTCCTAAATTTTAGGCTTTGTTTGACAATCATTCTTTTTAGAATTTTTTTTTTGCTCATACTTATTTTTAACGATCATGCTAGTGATATATCTAGCGTTATATCGAGCGTTACACCCCCGTCATATGGGGGGTGGGGTCCACTAGAATAAAAAAATATTATTTCAGTGGGTCACACCCCTCATGTGAGGGGGTGTAACCCTTAATGTACAAACATTATTATCTTATTTTTAATCACACATTTTGAATAATAAAACATTGTTTAAGTAAATCCAAAAAAAATTTCAAATTTTTAATCACACATTCTCCAAAAATTTACTATTCAAAAATTCATTTTTTCCAAAAAAAATTTCTGTCAAACAGGGGCTTAATTCATAGATTTTGACGGAAATAATACTAAAACGAAATAGTTTCATACTTTTTAAAAAACTTATAGCCCTTGTATGAAATTGATTTTCAAGAAGTGATTTTTTTTAAGAATGTGCGGTTAAAAAGTAAGAAAAATTTAGGAGTCGCCATTTTTTAACAATATGTAGGCGAAATGTGATTTTGAAAAAAAAAATGGCTAATCAA